GCCCCCATGTCAACCCCTAGACGGCCCCTGCCAATCCATACACAGAGGCCCCTATTCCAGCTCAGGTGTGGCTTTCAGTGTCCCATTGGTCAGTGTCCATGTCAGACAGTGACCCCCAATTCTAGCTTCCAAGATGCTTTCTGGGCACTGACATTGGCTCCCCAAGGAACCAGAGAGCAAGCTGGTGCCCTCCTATGCTTCCTACCTGGCCTCAGGGAGCACTGCCCAGCGGGGCCCTTGCCTCCTCCTGCTACTGGTTCAGTGGCCAGGCCACTGTGGGGCTCCGGTGTCAGTCCTCTGAACAGCATGGCCCTTGGCATGGACTCTGGGGGGAGACATGGCAGCCTGGGGGTGGCCTCTCCCCACGCAGCAGGCCTGGTAGCAGCTCTGCCGGTCCAGCGGCTCGGGGAGGGAGGCAAGAAGGACAGAAGCCCCGGGCAGGCTCCAGATGAATGGCCAGCTCTAGGGGCCAGTTCAGGGTTAGAGAAGGTGGACTATGTGCCCTCCGTGTGGAACTTCAGCCCGAAGTGAGGTCCCCTCCAGGAGGAGGACTAAGGGGCCCAGCAGGTCACTGCTTAGTGACCGGATTTCACCAAAGCCGAGGCCAGGGTCCTGCCGGTGGTGGAAATTGGGCTCTTCCATGGGGTCTCGAGGAAAGCATTCCGAGGACCCACGTGTGGGAGACTGCGGTGTGGCAAGGTGGTTTATTCATGGAGAAATAGAGGCTGCCCCCTGGGTTTCCAGGGTCCCACCTGTCTGTCCTGCCGTGGAAAAAACCCAACTGTGTTCCAGCAAGGCCGGAACAAGAGCCAGGTCCAGGGTCTGTGCTTTGTATCAAAGCTCAGTCCTTCGGCGCCCATGCCGCCTGCCGGGGCCCTGGTAGCTGCCAGACCCACGTGGTGTGTCCTCCTGGGCAAGGGCGTGAGCAAACGAACAGGGTGAGTCAGGAAGAGAGAGAGAGATCGCGAGAGCACACTTCTTTGTCCCCCTGGGATTAGATTAGCTTGAGTTTGGGACAGACCAGGTGTTTTTTTTCCAAAAGAACCAAGCAACTTCCCAGGCTTTTGTGGGGTTTTTGATGGGCCCACCCCCTAGTTAGACTGACAGGCCTCTATGATTGAGCACTCCCCCTGCGCCCCCCAACAACCTGGTACCGGAGCGGGGAACGCAGGAGTGGGAATCCCCTCTGTGGAGCAGCGCGGCGGTCCCCTGGGGTGTGAGGCCGTAGCTTCCTGGTGAAGCGGGCAGGCTCCTGCTCCCTTGTTTATTAAGCCCTTTGCTTCCCTTTGATTCATAATCACCAACTACCTACAGTAATAGTCTCACCACACGGCACACCCTTGGGACTGCTCGGGAAGTCTGGGCAGCGGGGGGCATGGGGACATCTTTAGAGTCTGGTCCATGCGGTGCCGGTGCTCGCACTGGCACTGTCCAGCAGTTAAGCCCTACCAGCCAAGGTGGCCCTGTCAGAGGATGCAGGCTGGGGGATTTAGCCCACCCACCTTGGTAACTTGCATTTTTGGTCTCCTTGGAAGTATTCTGCATGCACAGTTTTGAGCCCACCCCCACTTCGGGGCCTGGGGCCACACAGGAGGACGGAGGTGGAGGTAGATTCCAGCCCAGGTCCCCCTGCTCCAAATGACAAAGCATTTATAAAAAGCTGTCCCGAGACACTCCTTGTACTTGCAGGTGAAGCTGACAGGGGACCCCACCATGATGACACAGCCCTGCCTGCGAGGACAGGCCACCTGGGAACTTGGATATTCCTCTTTCCTCCCCCCACCCCCTGAGAGGGACGTGGCCGGGGCCACAGAAGGGGCCTACAGCTGCTACCTCTCAGCTGGTCCCATTTAACTTGGAGGTCAGCAGGTGGCCAGGACAGGGTTATCTCAGGTCTCCCATCCTTCTCAGGATGCCCAGCCCACCCCAGCACCCCCATTCTCCCCACCTCCCAGGCCTAGAGGGTGGGGAGAAGACACAAACATGGGGGACAAGGAGCCCCCAGTTTCTCTGTGCTTATCTGATTGCTGACCCCACCCTGGGTGTCTTCCCCAACTCCAGGGGCCTGATGGCCTGGGCAGAACCTCCCATCTGGTGCACCTAAGCCCCCGCCATGGCTACTTCTACCCAGGTGTCATGCTCGGGGCTCCCACCCACAGGTATCGCTGAAGGGCAATTAAGCCCCACCCTCTGACAGCCCAGACTCGCCTGCCCCTGCCCCCTGGGGCCCTGTGCTCCTCAGTCCACGCCCCCTGCAGACCCTTGCCCTCTGTTTGACTCCCATGCCCTCCACTGCCATGGTCTCAGACAGAGATGGGCAAGATGTCTGCTCAGCTGGGGGCACTGAGGTGGGCCGAGCCGAGGGCAGCCACGGCTCACTCTGGTTCAGGGGTCTTGGGGGCCAGGCACCTTGCTGGGGGCTCTACATCGTCCACATCACCTGAGCCTCACACAACCGTGCCGACACCGCAGCGTTCACATGAGCAAAGGGAGGCTCCGAGAGGTTGAGGGGCTTTGTCGGGGGCCACACAGCAACAAGATACCGAGCCTCCTGTGGAACTCGGGTCTGTCCAACCCACAAGCTGCGCCCTTCTCAGGGCAAAGGGGATGGGCAGCTGCGCCCCACCTAAGACCCAGCGATGTGGAATTGCTGCATGTGCACAGAGGGACCCCTGAGCAAAGTCACACCCCCTCCCGACCCCACAAAGCTCCAAGTCCTGCTGCAGCCCAGATTCCCCTCATCCGACACCAGGTGGCAAGGGTGTGGCTCCCAGCTCCTCTTACGGATGGAACAATGTTGAGGAAATTATTTAGCCTCTCATCTTCTCATCTTCATCGTTCTGTCTCTGCAACGGGGACAATGATGAACACGCACCTCACAAGACTGCAATGAGCAGATCAGTTAACACACGTCAGTGGGACTGGCACAGAGCGGGTGCTACCTGAGCACCACTACGTGGAAAACTGTCGCCGAATTGTTTCACGTGCATTCTCTTGGTCTTTCTGGCACCTCCTTGGCAGGGGCAAAACTTGTGTCCTCAGTGCCAACCACCAGCACAAGGTCAGACCCACAGCTCTTCCGAGTCTTTCCTTCAGTCATGAACAGCCACCAGGGTTTGTGTGGTTGCGGACGGTCTTGAATTCTGGATTGCCGCTGGCCACATTCGTCCTGGTAGCTGGGCGCGGGGAAAACCCTGGGGAGTGAGAGCCATGTAACTGACAGCAGTACCTTTTTCGCTTTGACCACTGGGAAGCTCAGAGGTAAAACAATAGACGGGGTGAGCAAAAGTAGGTGTGCAGTGGTGAGTGCACAGAACAGAGTTCATTCCTGTATTCTTAATTAATTTATTATTGTGTTGTTGTACAAACAATGGTAGGCCTACTTTTGTCCACCCCTGTCTCGTTTAAACAGTAAGAGCTCGAGGGCGGCAGCTGCCTTCACCCTGCAGTCCAGCCCGGCTGGTGGGGAGTGCGGGGGCGAGAGGGGTTCCGAGGCTGCGGTGAGTGACAGCAGCCCTGGGAATGGCCGGGGGGGCGTCGGGGCCAAGGAGATGAGACGACCGACCAGCGATGTCTGCTGTGGGCACGACACTGGAGAGCACACTCCTCGTGTGGCACACATGTGCCATCACCAGTCTGGGCAATGCAGCTATGAGCTTATTTCATGCAAGTCCACTCCTCCTCATACAATTTATATTTTCTCTGTTACGTTGTGTCTTTTATGACAGGTCCTTCCTTTGTGGAATGAGGTGGGTTACATATAAAATAAGCTGACGGGCTTCGCTTGGAGCCCTCAGCCCTCTTTGCATGATAAGTGCCCCAGGGAGAGTCCCTCGTGGCGGAGGAGCAACCACACAGCTCAAGGCTCCTTCAGCCCCCAGTGCTGTCTGTGCCTGGCGCTTCCCACAGGCCCAAAAGTGAGTTGGCCCTGGATTTCAGCCACAAAAGTCTCTTGCAAGAAATTAATCAAGAGTCAGATCAAGAGTTAGACTGTCACTGAGGTGCGCCCCTACACCCTTGCTGAGGACCTCCACCCCCATCTCTCTTTGGGGTACATCTGGCTACATCTAATCAGGGAGGACTGAGAATCTAAAGTAATGAGATTTAGTAAATCACCTCGGAGGGAGGCTAACAATGCAGATTCCTTGTCCCCAGCTCAAACTGCTGCATCAGAATTCCTGAGCCCTGGAATCTGCCTTTTTTACCAGTGTTCCCACGGCAATGAGAGACCACAAGCCTGGGGTTGGGAGGCCCCTGGAGAAACCAGAACAACTCTGGGCTCCTGGGCTGGGGCAGCAGCGCCACCTGGGGGATTCTTCTGGAACACCTCCCTTCTGTAATCGTCCCTGCTGTGCTGCTGTAGGGAGACAAGTCCCTATGTCCCACCCCTTCCTCCTCCTCCAGGGCCTCAGGAAGTGAGAGAGGAGGACACTGGGGAGAGAGAGGAAAAGTGCCTCCTAGGTCAGGCTTCTCCCCCGCCTTCCACTCATAAAGCAGCTGCAAAGCCCGAGAACGTCCTCTGGGCTTCCTCAGCTGGGCATGGGGTGTGCTGGGCTCCCCCTCTGGGACCAGTAAGAGCTTCCTTTAAAGTCTCACACTGCATCTTTGAAGTCTCTGAATTCTGCACACCTTACTCCATCACATTTCTTTAATATGAGAGTGATTCCTTCCTTTGTCAAGAACAGATGCTCCAGTAAGAATCCATTCTCGCCCCAAGACTTCATTGTGTACCTGTACCCAGGGCTCAGGGGCAGGAACCTAGACATACAATCTATACTCGTTTCAATATATAAACCAAACCCCAGCAAGGTCAGCAGCCAGGCAGGCAGACCAGAATGGGGTGTCACACACCCTCAGGCACCAGGCTGGAAAGGGTCCCTGGCCTTGGGGACAGCTGTGAGGTGCCCGCCACTCCTCCCTGCGGACCCAGCCATTCCACTCGCCCCCGCTCTCCCCCCTGGTCCTCCTGCAGCTCGAGAAGCAGCATCCCCAAGTCAGGCTAGGTTGTTACAAATTCTCTTTAATAGTCTTCCAATCTTGAGTATGATTTACAGAGCTGTGCGCGGAGCCCCTTCCCACTCCCCTACAAAGCGCAGCCTCACCCACCCACTCCCCGGGAGGCAAAGGACAAGGGACAGCATCCTTCCCGCCCGGACAGTCCGAGGATGCAGGGCCAGCTCTGTGCCACACCCCGAGGATGCACCCTGATTCCCTAAGCAGCCCGGGGCTGGGCCAGACCCCATTCGGCCAAGCTCATCCGGGTCTTGCTCCCAGGACATGGACGGCCCCGGCGGATCTGAGCTGCCTGGGTGGGGCCGGGCTAGGCCTGGGGAAGGGGTGCTGCCCCCAACAGCAGGTAAAGCCCACCCTCTCCCACAACCTTTCATGAGAACGTGAAAGCCAAAGATCTAAGCCTAATAGTGGAAAAGAAGTTGACCCACGCAGTGGGCAGTCCCCTGACAGCCCAGGGTACCTTATCTACATCCCCCCCATTTTAATACACTTCCCCCATATAATATATACATCCCCAAAGGCAGGTAGAGACCCAGCCCACCTGTGCAGGCATGCTGCAGAGGGTGTGTTCTCTGAGCTGCTCAGAGAACCCTGGTGGGCAGTGAGCGGAGGAGCCACAGAACAGCCGGGCTCAAGGCTGGAGGCGAAAGGCAGGGAGTGGGGTCCAGGCCCCAGAAGGCCCCTCATTGCCAGCCAGCACAGGATGGACAAGGGGCCTCGGCGGTGAGTTGAAGGCAGGCCCGGAGGAGGGAGCCAGGGAGAGCCCCGAGGTCGGCGGACAGGCAGGGAGGTGGGGACGGCAGCTGTCTCAGTACTTGGGGACCTTGCTGTAGTCTTCGGAATGGATGTGCCGGCACAAGCAGATGGACAGGAGCATCCCCAGGAGCTGTGGAGAGAGAGGGCGAGAGTCAGAGGGTGCAGGGCTGCCCAGCCCCCCACAGGTCTCAGAGCCCCTCCCTGCTGTCCAGCTCAGCACACGGGGACCAGGAGGAGCCTCGGCCAGAGGCCCCCACCAGCCTGTGATTCGGGTGCTGCCGGGGCCAGAGACTGCCGTGCTCAGGCCAGCCTTGCCACAATGTGACGGGGTCCAGAATTTGGGGTGTTCGGCATAATAGGCCTGGCTGGGGGAAGGGACACATGGGACAGGGCCATTGAGTTATTTTGCCAGCCAGCTTCATCCCTGATATGCAAAAAATGGTTATTTTGTATATCAATAACAGCAGACTAGTCTTCCAGCCAGAATGGAGCCAGAAGGCATGAATAACTTGGACCCATCATGTAACTGGGAGGCAGCTCCCCCTGGTTGCAGCGTCTGTGTGAGAGCTTGGAGATGGTTCGCTCCATGCCCCGGGGCCACGCCTGCTGGACTCGCTGTGGCAGCCCAGAAAGGCAGAAAAATGCAGGAATGCTGGCAGGTGTAGCCGACTGTGGGAGGAGTCGGAAATGGGGCTGTGGAGGAGGCTCCAGGCTGGGATTTAAACTAAAGGCAGACCACCATGAGGGACGGGGAACAGTGCAAGACCATGCGGGAAGGAAAGGGGCAAAAGGACTCTTGCTGGAGGGCCACAAGGAGGTGCCACAAGGTTCTGGAGTAAGAATTGGAGATGGCCCGGCGACACAGCTGGTGCCAAGGGGGGCCGTGGGAGCCCTGCCCAGCCAAGCACGATGACTGAGAGGAACTGGGAGGAATGAGCTGCGGACTTCTGTTCTTTTCCTCCTGGAGGACGGTACTTCTGACTGGCACGTTCTGGGACTGGCCTGACTGGACAAAGGCGGGAAGTAAGGGCTGTGTGTGTTTGTGGGTGTTTTAAGGGACTTTGGGTTTTTAACAGTGACATTCTGCCATTACCCTAAACCTATATAACTTTTTAATAAAAAGTTACTTTCCTTTTTACCGAACTTTGGCCTTGAGAGCCACCATTCCTAAGGGCAGCGGGCAAAGAACCCACAGTGATGAAAGGACCCCGGGAAAGAGGCTTGTTTCAGTGACAGTGTCTGGGCACCCCCACCCCCATGGGTTCCATTCGGTAATAATGGGGTCTCTAGAAGCTGATGGGCCTCTGCCTCCACCAGGACACCCACAGAGCAGGGACAGCCGGGAGGACAGAGAGGGCTGCGGAGAGGGGCCCCAGACCTCAATGATGGCGATGCCCACACACACGCCCAGGATGACGCCCAGGTTGTCCTGCAGCCACTGCTGCACCTTCTGCATGCAGCCCTGCGGGGGGAGAACACAGCCGCATCAGCCCGGGCCCCCAGCAGGCAGGACCACCAGGAGGGGCCACCGCCTGCCGAGGGCTCTGTGTAGAGAGTTTCTTCAGTAGACAAATTAATATGTAACAGAGGTCCAAGTGGTTCAAAAGCAAGAAGACCAGATGAAGAAAGGAAGGACGGATGGAGCGGGAGCCCAGGGGAGCTGGGGTGGCCAGGGCACCCGAACCCCCGGGGCCCCCGAGCCCAGCCCCCAGCCCTACAGCCCCCTATGTACATCCTTATACACGGGCCAGTCATCGGGATTGTTGCCACTCTGGGTCACGTTGCTGCTGGGATCCTCGCAGAAGCCCTTCCTCACAAGGTGGCTGCTGTTGTTGTCGTCCTTGACCTCGCAGGAGCAGGGATAGGTGACCGTGGTGCGATTCATGAGCTCAGTGTTTTCTGTCCAGTTGTAGGGGCTGGTCCAGCCACAGCACTGGCCCTGGGCCAAGAGGAAACAGGCTGCTCAGGCCCGTGCCCACGCAGGCAGCCGCCGCCCCACCTGGCGGAGGCGGGGCCTCCCTGGAAAGAGGCGCAGATCTGCCACTTGCAGGCCTCCCTGGCCCCAGACACACAGCCAGGAGCTGAGTTTAGGTCTCACTGTGGCTTCCGTGAGCCACGAAGGGTTTAAAGGGGCTTTTAGGAAATATATACCACAAACTACTAAACAGTCAGAAGGAAACATCAGGACCAGCAAAAATATAAAGCAGAACAGGAGGAAAGTTCAAGTTGAAAGGCAGAACACAGGTGTGGGGATGAATTGGAGGACAAATAACCTCTGGTTAAGAGCACAGGGTCTGGAGTCAGGAGTCTGGGTTCAAATCTCAGCTCTGCCACCTACCAGCTGCTCAGCTTTGGTCAAAGTACTGACCTCAGTTTCCTTATCTGCAAAATGGGGTAACAAGGTTTCTGTCCCCCAGGTCCTATGAGTAACAAAATGGGGTAACAAGGTTTCTGTCCCCCAGGTCCTATGAGTAACAAAATGGGGTAACAAGGTTTCTGTCCCCCAGGGCTGTTACAAGGGCCGAACAGATCGGGCAGGTGGAACACCCAGCACAGGTCTGGAGAGCACAGCAATTGCTCGGGAAAGGCTGGTTCCACTTCCAGGGGCTGGGAGTGTGCTGCGGCTGCTATTTGACCCTGAGCTTCCTGCTGCCCAAGTGAAAAAGGAGACACAGTCCATTCCACCTTCGTGGAAGAAAGACTTCTGGGCTCCGTGTGCTAAAAGGGGCCCCCATGGGGCTCAGGAAGGGGACCCTGAGAGTCTTTGATCACATCTGGGCTGCAGTTCCCACAGGACTGGGATCTCAAGGGCTGGGCCTGGGCTGGAAACAGCCTGGTTAGGCAGAGCAGAGTGGGGGCAAGGCTCCTTTCAAACCCTGCCCCTGACCCATGCGTGGGCAAGCTGCTGCCTTTCTCTGAGCTCGTTTCCTCATCTGGAGAATGGGATGGCAACCAGGATACCAGGATCCCTGCGAGGATTGAATGAGCGGCAAGGGAAAGCTGCCCGCCATCGTGCCCAGCACACGGTCAGTTCCCCACCTGCTCCCTATCCATCTCCCTGAGGAGTCTCGGACAAGCAGCCCAGTGACCAGCAGGGGGCGTGCCAAGCACGCTCAGCGTTCTCAGGCTCCAGATTGTGTTTTTTATGTAGCAGTTGCCTGGCTGCCTCCTCTCCTGCAGAGACTGGCACGGAGGAGCCACACCAGCCAGGGCTACAGTCTGCTTTCTCAACCGCGATCCCAAGCAGCATCTGACAGACATCAGAATCCTCTAGAGGACTTGCCAGCTCCAGGAGTCCCCCCAAGCAGCCAACTGCCTCCCACGGTGGGAGGCTCACCTCCCAAGGGACCTGCTTCTCCCCAGGGCTCCTTGAAAGGTGGCACTTGCTCATTCTGGGGCATCGACTCCCTCAAATCTTAGCAAAGTGTTTCAGCAATTGTGGGTCAGACCTAAGGCGTGATGAGAACACCTTGCTGTGTGCACCGAGCCCTCTGTCTGGCACAAGCCCTCCTGCCTGGCCTCAGCTGGTCCTCACTGAAAAATCTGCGAGGCACGTTGGCCAGAAAACATCACCCTACCCTTCTGCCGGCCCAGAAGACAGGTGTGCCGGTGCCTCCTGGACAAAACCCCCCTTCAGTCTCCAGCCAGAGCCAGCAGGTCCTAAGTGACTTGTACCCAGTGTCCCCTCTGCAGGAGGCTGCAGCCCAGAGGAGGCGGGTCCTGGCCAAGGACACACAGCACCTGGGGCCATGAAAAAGGGGGCAGCCGGGACCGGCTCGTTGATGCCGATTTGTAGGTGTGGTGACTGGGTCACCACCAAGGCAGGCTGGGACCCCCACAGACGATCATGCATTCACTCAGCCACTTGTGCATCCTGCCAGTCACCCAGTCCGTATGCTAGTCTGTCGTTCAGCCGTCCACTCTGTCGGCCAGTCAGCCGTCTCCGGGCCCCCACTCCAACTGAGGTGGAGCACGCACACGCTAAAGCGCACAAACCCAGCTTGCCGAGTCTGTACCTCCATGCCGGCAGGACCAGTGCTTGGACTGGGTTTGAAGAGAACGCTCCTTCCCCCCCCCCCCAGGAGGTTTCCACGGGCTCCTCCCTAGAGGTAGTCTCCACCTGGCACACAGTTTCTTAACTTGCAGGGCAGAGCCGCCAACGCTCCCCCACCTGGCTTGAGACCAAAGGGCTGAGACCTGCAACTACCCTGCCCCCAACCCCCAGGCCATTGGTGGAAGCACTTCAGGCCAGGGCACAGCCTCGAAGCCCCAAGCCCCGCGGCCCCTGAGAAGCAGCTGTGGTGGTGGCTGAGATGTCAGGACGGGGAGGGCGCCTCAGGGCCCCGTGCTCCTCAGATACATACTCACACACAAGCTCGAGAACACACCCTGTCAGGCACGTACAGGTACATGGACCCTGGACCCCGATGCACAGACACAAACAGGCCCAGCCTCCCGCTGCCCCACCCCCACCCCCTACCTGCGCCTGCACGTAGTCCCAGCCCTGCTGCAGCCTGTCCTCCTCGCCGTCCTTGTAGTCCTGGATGAGCTTGGCCACGATGCCGCCCACCTCCTGCTTCACCTGCAGAAAGGGGAGCAAGGATCAAGGTCAGATTCTTGAAACCCATGCCCCACCTGTGGTCACATCCACTCAAACTGCCTCTCCCCACCCTAACGGCCTGGCCTGGGGACATGCTCACAGTGTGAGAACACTTCATTGTCCAGCCCAGCCACTTTCCTGACACAGCCCACAGTCTGTTCAGCACTCAGCAGCCGCGTGACCCTTTAAATGTGAACCCTCCCACGCCCTGGCGGAAAGCCTTCCAGTGGCCCACTGTGCCCCCAGGAAGAGTGCCGACACCCTCCCAGTGGCCCGCAGCGCCCTTCCCAGGTCTCGCTTCTTCTCTTCTTGCTTCCCCTGCTTCTGTTACTGTGCTAGGCCCGCCCCCGCCTCGGGGCCTATACACTCGTTTCTTCTGCCTGGAATCTCTTCCCCCCAAAATCAACCCAACTCACCTCTTTACTGCCTTCGGGCCCCCGCTCAAATGCCACTCCTTAGCAAGGCCTTCCTGGCCCGCCCTTCAGAACACCATCCCTTCCCTTTTCCCTCCCCCGCCTCTCCCAGGCCCTCCTTATCCTACAGAGAATATCCTGCATTTTTTTCTTTCTTTGTGCCCCCCCACCTCAGGACATGTTTATTGACTTCAGAGACAGGGGAAAGGAGGGAGAAAAACATCGATGTGTGAGAGACGTTGATGGGTTGCCTCTCACACCGGCCCTGACCAAGGACCAACTATGTGTTCTGCCCTGGAATTGAACCTGTGACCTTTTGGTTTATGGGAAGATGCTCCAAGCAACGGAGCCACACCGGCCAGGGCACGTGCTTTCTTCATGGGATGGTCACTGCGTGCTCATTTGTTCCCAGGACTGGGCAGGTGTGCAGTGTCCACGGTCAGGAATGGGCATCACCACGCACCCTCAAAGTTAACCCTCACACCTGCCCCCCCCCCTCCCGGCCCCACGGAATCCACATCCTGACTGCTGCTCGCCACTGTGCTCAGGCTTTCGGAGGCCTTCCCCGAGGAAGACAGACACGCCCTGCTTTTCACTGACCCCACAGAGAAAACTGATTTACAAATTTACAAATAAGGCAGACAGGGGTGCAGGGATCAGGAGGACTCAGCGCTGAAGCGCTTTCCCCGGGGCCCTGAACACGGGAGCTCGCAGCAGCAGCTTTTCAGGAACTAGTCAGCTATGCAAAGAGAGGTGAACGGAAACCAGCCCAGAGAGCGGAGGACAGGGCCTCTGGTCCTGGTGGGTGGGGCCGGAAGCCAGCCCTGGCCTGGCCCCACTGGGCCTCCCCCGTGGACTTTGCCCAAGGCCCTCCTCCACACACATGCATGCACCGGCCAGTCGTGGAACCCGCAGTGAGGGGCCTGAGAGGGGCGGGGGCGCTGAGGGGATGGCTGCACACCTGCCCCTCAGTTCCTGAGAAAAGGGGAGTACGGAGACGGGACAGGTGCTTCCAGGCAGGGGCTTGCAGAGGCTGGTTCAGAACCCTGCCTGCGGGGCTTCCGCCAGCTCCCCACAGGCAGCGCGAATGCTGGGCTCAGAGCAACCACTTCCTCCAGATGGACCTGGGGAAACGGCCCCCAGGACCTCCCTCTGTCCTTTCCTCTTCATAAAACTCTTCACAGGTTGCTTTTGTTTACTTACCCAGAGCTCTCTACAATTTATAAAGCTTTCCTGTGAGTAACTAATCACAGCACTAGGAGTGGCTGACATTTATCAAATGCTTGCTCTGCACCGGTGCTATGCTAAGTATTTTAATGTTCCCTCACTTTAGTCCTCAGAGCAGACCTATGGTCTAGGTACTGACCTCCTTCCCTCATTTTAGAAATGTAGAAAACAAGGCTCAGAGAGGTTCATTAACTTGCTCAAGGTCACACAGCCAAAAAGTAGAAAAGCTGAGGTTTGGACTCAGGCCCATCTGATTCTAAAACCCGTTTTTACCCGTTCAGCTCTACTGGCATTTTAACCACATGGCTACAGCTTGAAGTAGGTCAGAGCACTTTCAAGAGGAGCCCAGAGAAGCCCATGTCACACGGCTGGGGCTGTCTGCCTGCAGATCTTGGCTCTTTGTCCCCGACCATCCCCACCTCTGCCCCAGTGATTTTTGAGGCAAGAAAAGAAGGGGGTTCCCCAGAAATATTTGCTTGGAAAACCACCCTTCCCACATCCTCCTCACCGGCCTTCCCCTCCGACCCGGCTCTATTTACACCCCAGTGTGGTTGCCACAGCAGCCCCAACTTCCCTGTTTCAGACCCTCCTGAAATAAGAAGGGGTGGAAGCTGTGCTTTCCACTGAGACCTGGTGGTTTCCATGGGAACGCCAGCTCATCCTCCAGCCTCGAATGTGGCTGAGGGCCACAGCTGAGCCGCAGGGACCACAACTGCAGGGGCTGGTTCAGCTTGGAGCTGACGTCTTGGGATCCCAATGCCCACGTGGATGTCGCCCTGACAACCAGGCTGTTCCTGAGACGAGGAGAAGCCGGGACACCCGGTGAGCCGGTGCTCACTGTCTCGCTTCGTCCCTGCAGGGGCTGCTCTGGTTTCTGACCAACCTGCACCTGTTCTCCCTTCTTCTTGAAGTAACAGTTCCTTTCCTTGGGGGTCAGCACCCTCAACCCACCCATGCAGCTGGAAGTCCTGCCCGCATCTCCCTTCCTCCGGGCCATAGACAGGTAAAGGCCCAGGCTGCCACTTGAATGCCTTTCATATCCTGGGAACGGCAAGGGGGTTAGGGGTGAGTCCGCGTCCCGGGGTTACACGCGTGGGTCCTGGGCCCTCTCTGTATGCTAATCTGATAGGAGGAGGGGCTGGACTGCTGGTGGCCACCTTGGGCTCCACTGGAGACAGCCCACCTGAGAAAGAGTCACAGAGGAGAGGAGGCTGAGGATGGAGAGGGGACAGAGTCCTGCTGACCGCCTGCGGGCACCTGCACCCAGCTGGGCCTGCAGCCAGTGGCTGCTTACAGTGGGGTCACTGCTGCAGGCGGTCCAGGGGAGAACTGCACAGTTTACAGCCAAGGGCAAGATGAAAGTGCAGGGCCCTTGTTCAAAAATGACCGAGAATTTCAAAACAGCAGCGGCAGAGCATCACCTGAGCCAAGCGCAGGACCCTTGTAAGAGTGGGACCCTCACTAGGCCTCACGCCCAAGAAGCCAGCCCTGGCCCTGCCAACAGCATCCTCCCATTTCCCAGAAGAGAAAATGGAGGCCACCCAGAGTCAGAACAACTTCCCGAGATCGCACACCTAGCAGGTGGCAGAGATGACTATAAACTGACATGCACAGCCCCAGGACCCCGCGACCTTAACCTCAACAAGCCACTCACTGTATCCACCTGCCGGGGGACCCCACCATCCCCCAGGGCAACTCCCCCCACCTTCCCCTGCCAGTCTGTGCTTTCATTTCACCTTGAAGCGTGACTTTTCACAGAGAGGTTAAATATAAGAATCTAAATATAAGAATCCTTATCATACTTTTCCCCGCTCTGCTTAAATGCTCCCCTTGAGGAGGAACTCAGTACCTCACACAGCAGCCCACTACTGGACGGGACCTGCTGGCACCAGCTCTTCGTTTTCAGTGGAGCCCCAGTGATTTCTGCTATTAGCGTGAGTCCTCACCCCCACCCCACCCCCAGTCCCAGCTGGGGCCAGACAGCACTGGCCAGGTTGCTGTCTCCCAGGACAAATGGCTCAGGTGTCTGTGACCGGCCGCGTCTCCCTTTCCTCTCTCCTTTCTGGGGGAAGTTTCTAGGCCCCTTTGGCCTAGATGGTGTCCAGACTTCTCTCCATCCTCTGCACTCTAACGAGTCAAGTCCCCTTGGAACAAGGTGCCCCAGATGCGATGTAAGGGGCCACGTGTCCCTGTCTTCTCCCCCGGGTTCCCACGGCCACGTTGCCAACGCTCTGAGGCTCCCCCGGTATCCTGATAGGAAACGAGGCCCCTTAGCAGTGGGGAGTGTGGAGGGGTGGCAGGTTTACTCAGTGACCGCCTGAGTCTTTCCTGAAAGTCCGCTGTAACCCAGGCAACCAGACACCCCAGGTTCAGCAGGAGGCCACGTCATGTCCTCCCCTGACTGCCCCCCACCCCGAGTCACCTGGTAAGCTCCTGAGGGCGGGGCCGTCCTGGCACCCAGCAGGCGCTCACAAGCCTTTGTCCCATTTTCTCCCACAATCCCTTTCCAGGACAGGCTGGACGCAGGCTTCTGTCTCCCAACAGGGAAGAGAAAGGCCACCTCTCCTGTACTGACTCTAGCTGCCTTTGAGCCATGGCCTCAGGAAGTTTTCCTCTCGATGAGCAGAGACACCTCACAGACCCGCATTGTCCTCAAGGAACCTGTTTTACTACCTGTACCTTAGGACGCCTGTGCAGTGCCTATTTCTGGTTTCTCAGGTGGGAGAGGGAAGGAGGAGGGAGTCAGAGCTGCCCTGACCCCCCCTCTCTTCGGGGCACACAGACACTGTCATCACCCCTGACCCCCAGCTCCCGCCCAGGCTGTGCAAGCCCTTCCCTCCAAGCCCTTAGCCTCCTTCTGCTGAGCTCCTGACGCAACCGGTCAGAGCCGCAGCAGCCCCACCTGTGTGGGTTGTTGGGGGGAGTGGGTTGCATAATGGACTGCACAAGTGCAGCAAGCCCCGAGCCCAGCACATGGTAGGAAGCACAGTCAGTCCACTTTCTTCCTCCTGACCCGCTCCCACCCTCCCCTGCCTGCATAGAACAAGTCAGAAACCCAGACTGGCAGAACTCAGAATGGCCCTGGAGGTCCAGTGTGACTCAGAGAGGGTGGGGAACTTGTCCAGGGACCCACAGCAATCAGTGGCAGAGCTCACCCTAGAACACGGTGCCCGAGTCCCAGGTCAGCCCTTGGCCCACCGAACGAAAGCTGGATAAACAGGTGAGGAAGAGGCCAGGGGACCTCAGCTTCACACTTCCTGGTTCCCACAGCCCCCACTAGCCCTGGTACGAATACCGACAACAGAGGCAACAGCTGCCACATACTGGGCCCTCTCTGGGCATTAACGAGGTCCGTAACGGTGACAATAGAAATAACCCTTGCAGAGACGCCAGCAAACATCTGCTCCAGGCCAGCACCACTGCTGTGCCCTTCCCACAGGTCAGTGCCCTTCACCCTCACCACGGTGCCAGGGGTGCCCGGGGACCCACATGCTCCTGCACCAAGAAATGTCGCAGTTTTACCAAAGAATCAGGGCCTGTGTCACAGCCCCAAGTCTCCCCCACTCACATTCCCGAGAGACACCTGAACACAGGACACAAGGGCACAAATAGCCTCACTTCCGTTCAGGTCCATTTTGCCACCAAATGAGTTATAAGTGGTTTTGTTTTGTTTTGTTTTGTTTTGTTTTGTTTTGTTTTGTTTTGGCGGGAGGCAGGTCAAAGTGGTTTGGGGTTTCCGAACTGCAGACAAGGAGCAGTGGGCCTGTGTGATCACTGCGGTTGGCACATGAGTCCTGAAGAGGGTGGCGACTTGCCAGGGGTCTCGGTGCAGGGGTTCCAACACAAGCACTTTGATTTCGGAGCCCGGCCCTGACCCCCACTCTGCATTTTATAAACACCTGGCAGTCGGCATTCCTGGGTCGGGGTAGGGGTCAGGCAGGTTTATTCTCCTCCATTTGTAATCCGGGAGCCCACAGCAGCCAGCGGGAGAGGCCACACGCCGGGCCCACAGACCCAGCCCTCCCCACTCCCCTCCGCACCCCATTGCTGCCGTGCAAACAGCAGCTGCTGAAAATGTGGGGCAGGGAAGACAGGTGGCAGCCTGGAGACCATCTCACAGGGAGCCCAGGGCTCTGTCCCTCCCACCTGCCCAGGAGGCCTGGACGAGGCCGGAGGGACGGGCCCGCTGCCTTGCAGCTTCAGGCTCATCCACGCCCCGCCCCCCCAGCTGGGCCTCATCTGCAGGAATAAACACCATCAAGGGCATGTTTAGTCTTCCACTGGGATTCACAATGTGCCGAGAAAGAAAAAATAAATTGTTCATTCCAATTTGGGCAATAGGGTGGCGCCAGAATTTCCACAGAAAAGCCAGAAGACTTTCCTCTGCCTTCCAGAAGAGGAGGTGGGCCAAGGTGAGGGGGCCTGGGACAGGGGAGAGCGAGGGCCCAGGCCTGGGCTGGTGAGTAAGGCACAGAAGGGCACAGGGGTACGAGGGGCAGAGCCTAGACTGGAGTCAGGAGAGGTAACCCTCTGCACAAGCCCTGCCTGGACCTGAGGGACACCTCGGTGCAGCTCTGGTCGTCAGCCAGGCAGAGTGTACCGTCCTGGGGGAGGCAGCGTGGGGAAGAGGGAGCAAGATGGGGGACTTTTGTAGTGTGACTGTGGCCGAAAACCACTTCGCTTTTCTGGGCCTCAGTTTCTTACAGTGGAAAATGCTCGTAAAAGCGAAACGGGTCAAGTCCCGACGTCAACTGCTGGCACGCTATTGGTGTCCACGGACGGGCACCGTCTTTGTTCCTCCGAGATGGGGAAACACGCAGAAGCGGCAAGGTGGACTGCCTGCACCCGCGCAGAGCTGGCCAGCGCTCAGTCACAGCAGCTGGCTCACTGGAGCCCGGTTCCCGTCCACCCCATTAGAATGCACAGCTGGCTGGGTCCCTGAAGCCCCAGGCGCTTGTCCCACAACCCTTTCTCTGGAAAAGGAGTTTCCCTGCCCGAAGCACCTTCTTCCTGTGCAGTAGCCAAGTAAGCTTCCTTTCACCTACTGAAACTGTATTTCCCCTTTTGTTCAGGTTCAAGTTAGCCCTCAGCTACATGAGCACCTTGTCCCGTGGCTTCAGGAATCATGGTCTTCCTCTCTCTCGGTGTGCGTTCTGAGCTTTGTTTTGATTTTAGCCACCCTGTGCCTACATCGGAAGTCAGGTCCAACTCTCCTGGGAACTAGGCTGGGTGTGCGTTGCAAATAAGTACAGCAGATTCAGGTAGGGGCCACAGTGAAAATTTCACCAGCATGAGCTCAAAGGCCAGGCTGCTGGGGCTCACATCTCAGCTCTGCCATTTACCGGCTGTGTGACCTCTGGCTGAGTTGCTCAACCTCTCTGTGCCTCAGCGTCCAAATCTGAAAATGCGGTGCTCACATCCATGACCTGAGAATTTCTATGAATCCAAATACTCAGTCAGCACGTGCACAACATTTAGTTCCAGACCGGTTCTAAGTGCTAGTTGTTGAGGGCGTAATGTTTTCTCAGCTTCCTTCTCGGAGGGATCTGAGGCAATGTGCCCTTCACCACGTGCCCTGACATGGTAAAATGCAGGAGCCCCACCCCCAGCTGCCGGCTCTGCCACCTGCTCAGTGGACAAGAACTGTAGCACTGGAGGAGGGCAGGCCCCCAGGCTCAGCTGGGCCACGGGTGAACACCGACTGGAGTCAGGTGCCTGAGCTTTCACCTGGCCTGCCGTTGACCTGCTGGGACTGGGACTGACCCTCACCTGTAGGACTGGGATTCTCACACATCTTGGGAGAGCATGGTGAGGATCGGCAAAAGAATGAATATAGAGTGGCCAGCACTATACCCAGCCTATGACATGTGCTGAACCCATACAGGGATGGCGGAGGTTATAGTTATTATTATTATTGATGCTGTTTTGCTATTAATCCCTCTGAGCATCTGCTTCCCTGTTCGAGAACATAATGCCTACCCCACAGAGCTGTTGTGAGGGTGAGACAATGTGTATAAACTTTCTAGAAGAGTTCTGTGCACATAGTAGATGTTCCATAAATACCTGTGATCATCACAATGGACTGGCTCACCCAGCGGCCATCCCTGGCTCCTTGTGCCTTTGTCTTCAGAGTCTAAAAGCTAGATACTTTCTCAGCCACCAATAAAGCCAGGGGTGCCTTTGTAACCCAACCTGGGGGACTTTTGTAGGGGGATTACTCTTCTGATAAAAGAAATGGCCATGGCTGGCACTGCCCCATTCCCCTTCTTCTGGCCACAGCAGCACAAGATGGTGCTGTGGCAGCCACCTTGGGACCATGAGGTGAGAGGTATAATGTAGAGAAACCATTACGATGAGAATGCTGAAGAGACAACCAGAACCACGGTCTCTGAGCTTCCAAACTTGACTTCTGATTATGTTCACAAGTGTCCTTAGATTTTAAGCCACAGTAAGTCTAATGTTCTTCTATTCCTCAAAGCTGAGCACCTTCGCTGTGACAGAGCACTAATGTTCTTACTGACAGTTCCTTCCCAGGGCCTCCTCTGTGGGTGCCTGGCGTGGGTGGAATACTTGCCCAGGGGCCTCAACCATAACAAGAGCAAAACAAAGATTCACTGAGTTCTTACTATGCCAAGCACTGTGCTGTGTTGCACTAACATAATCTCACTGAACCCTAGCAGCAACCCAAAGGGTTCAATGTCATTACTGTCCCCAGTTTACAGAGGGTGAAACAGGCAGAGAGAGGCAAGCAACTTGCACACAGCAGCCACACGGCTAGCAAGTGGGGTGGAGCGGCATCCAAGCCCCAGAGAGACTCTGCCCACAGATACTGCCTTCCCTTCTACCAGCCCCCCATTTAACCACAGAGAGGTGTCTTGGACCTGCTGGGTCTGTCTGTGACAACTGAGGCTTCCTGTCTATCCCCCACCCCCGGGCCAGTCCCCGACATGGCTGGTCCAATGCAGGTTGGGGACGGGGAGGGGGCGCTTACCTTGCCCATGTTGAAGTAGAAGAGGACACCAGCAGTCACCTGGGCGACGAGGATCAGGAGGAGGAAGACAAAGTACTGGGAACACAGAGCAGGCAAAGTCAGCTGGGAGACCCCCACCAGGTCCCACTCCCCTCAAGGGCTCCCCACCCAGTCTGGGCCAGGGCGGGGCTCAGGGGCCCAGGCCAGCAGTGGTGAAGGGCCGACTTACCAGCCCCAGCAGGCAGCGGACCTCGTTCACGGCGCCGATGCAGCCCAGCAAGCCTATGAGCATGGTGAGGGCCCCCACGCCGATGAAGACGTAGGCCCCCACACTGAACAAGCTGGAGGAGGTCTCTGGGGGAACAGAAAGAAGGGTGTTCGACCCAGCCTGGCTGGCTCCCACTCATGAAGTACAAAACCAGGGGCAGGGCCTCCTTGGAGCTGGGGTGCTGGGTCAGCACCCTCCACCCCTCAGCAAGGAACCTGCTTCTCACCTTCTTTGGAAGCTGCCTGGATGTGCCTCCCTCAATCTATGCTAGACCTCATCCCTGCTTTGCTCGATCTCCTGGGCACTGACCAGGATCGGGAAGACTGCATTGGACTAGCTTATCCAGCTCGTGGCCGCGGCCCTACCAGAAAGTGGGTTCCAGAAGGGCAGGGACTTGGGTTCGCCCCTGCCGAACCCCCCGCCCCCACCTAGCAGTGTCTGGCGCAGCAAAATGATGCATGAACAGCTACTGAATTAGCGAGCCGCAGGCCTGCCTGCCTCCTCGTCCACACGATCCACGCCAGCCTCTCTTGCCCACGCAATGTGCCTCGGGGGCTTCCCACACACTGTCTCCAACTCTGACGTAACTCGCTGAGTTACAGCCATTTCACAGATGAGGAAACTGAAGCTCAGAGAGGTATACTGCATAGGCCGGAGCTGGGATTGGGAAATAGGCAGACCTCCAATGCCACGCTCTTTCCTCTAATGCACAGGGCCATGTCCTGGCCTGGCGTTACCAGGTGCCAGACAGTGTGGCAGCTGCTGGGGATACAGAAGTCAGACTGATGAGCTCCTCACACCAAGGAGTTGACGTCACGTGGGGTGGGGACTAAAAGTAAACTACACAACCTCCTGGTTGCGTAAAAGGCCGTGAAGGTGTTGAGGCCGGCTCATGTAGAGAACCGTTAAAGCAGGGAGTGGGCTGGGGTGTTGGGAAGGCTGGTCTGGGCAGGTGGCATTTGAGCTGAGATGAGAAAGGAGAGGTCAGTCAGGTGAAGACCCGAGGGAAAAGCATTCCAGGCCGTGGGAACAGCAGGGGAAAAGACCTGAGGAAGAAGCAGGCTTGATGTCTGTGAAGAATGGAGAGAAGGTGAGAATGAACAGACCAGTGTGACCGAGTAGTGTGACAGGTGATACGCTCGAGGTACAAAGGAGGGGACTGATGGCAAGAGACCCTCTGCAGGGCCCACCCCGGTGGGGGTGGATTGGAGGCTCTGTCAGGGCACTTGGCCAGCAATTCTCCAGAAGTCCAACAGGACACACGGGGCAGAGCTCAGAGCCACCTCCGGCCTGTCGGCCTGGGCACACTCTACACCGAGGCTGAGACTCACCAGGAGGGCCAGGGCTGGGGGCTGCGGGCTCACAGTGCCTCCCAAACTCCTGGGAGGCAGCCCCAGAGGGAGACCCTCAGAGGCTGGAGAACAGCCTGGAGCACACCGGCGATGGGGGCAGCTTCTAGGGACGAATATTCTTGGCCTTATCACAAGGAAACCACCCAGACCCTGCATTTTCAGTGTGTTTCTGCAGTGACCTGGGTGCAGTCACGGCTGGCAGAAATGACTGTCAGCAGGAAGAGTGACCGCCTGCTGCCTGGGGGCCGGGAGAGGCCACTGAGGGGGCATTAGCATCCTTAAAGTCTAACTACAAAGCTAGAGTGTGGGTGGAGCAGGGCCTGACCCAGCTGCACTTTCTGGTAGCAGACGGAATGTTCTGGAGCTCAGGAAGAGCCCTGGCCCGCCCACCACTCTCAGGGTGCAGGGGTAGGGCTGCCTCTGCCCTGCCCCTCACAGCAGCCCCCAGGAATCCCGGCAGAGCCCCGATACGTGAGGGTGGGGCTTCCTTTTCATTCCAGGCCCTCACTGCCCTGGCTCTCAGCAATCAGCATGGGCAGCAGGAGCCACCAAATTTTACTTTTCCTGAACTTCCTGGGTGTGAGTTCCGACAGCCCTTCCGGGGACAACAGCTGCAACAAAGGGGCTGGCACCGCCTGGAAACCCGCCGCACGCCAGCTCTGGCCGGGCCCTTGACCCGGACCATCCACCAGCAGCCCCAAGGGTGGGGATTCACACCCGATTTGTCTGTAGGGGGCCCGAGGCCGCCGAGGTGGCCAGCAGGCAAGGCCCGGGGCTGAACCCCCGGCCCCTTCCCCTGGGAGGCTAGCCAAGCTGCCGGGCCTGGTTTTTCAGAACATTCTGTGGATGCTAGGCCCTGTCCTTCGCCAGGGGTCAGGCCAGCCCCAGTCTGAGCAACTGACTTAGGAAGGGACCTGAGGACATTCCAGGGTGACCTGTCCGCTATGCAGCAGAAACATCTCAATCCTATTGGGTCAAGCAGGCCCTAGTGAGGGGAGAGAGTGGCCCAAAGCGAAAGGGACTGCGGACCACGACGACGTGCCAGTCCCGCTCCCAGCTGCTGCTGGCAGCCCCTGAGCCAGGCAGGCCCTTCCCAGCCTCTGTTTCTTTCTCTGAAAAGGATCAAAGTCCTACTTCTTAAAGACATCATAAGGATTAGATGGTATTATAAATGTTACTATTTAACAACTTTAATAATTATAATAGTTATTATAAACATCATTATTTAACAGTCACTATGTAGAGTTTGCTATTCACTAAGAGTTATTCTAAACTCTTCTTGGATAATAACTCATTTCATTGCTCACAATAACCTCATGAGGCGCATCCTCTCCTTGCCACTTTGCAGACAGAGAGGTGCAGAGAGGTGAAGGAGCTGGCTCGGGATCACGGAGCTGATAGGCCGCAGAGCCAGGATTCGAACCAAGAGAGTCTGCACCCAGCATCTGCACTCTGAACCGCTGTGCTTGCGTCTGCTGGTCCTGCGAACCCGCGGTGCGCCACAGAGCCACAGAGCCCTGCAGTGCGGGGGCTCAGGAACCCCGCCCCCTGGTTCACGCCCCAGCTCCCCACCTGCTGGCTGTGTGCCCTCTGATGAGCTACTTCCCCTTCCTGTGCTTCGGTTTTCTCCACTGTAAAACATGGAGCCCTGGTCGGTGTGGCTGTATTGGTTGGAGCACTGTCCTGGAAACCGACAGTTCGTGGTTTCGATGCCCATTCAGGACCTGTGCCTGTGTTGCAGGTTCAGTCCCAGTTAGGGCACTTGAGAGAAGCAACCCATCGATGTTTCTCTCTCATGTTGATATTTCTCTCCCTCTCTCTGAAATCAATAAGCATGCCCTTGGATGAGGACTAAAAAAAGGATAGTGTTGCAGCGAGGATTCAATTAGGTTCAGAGCAGAGCGGTGTCATGCGGCCTGGCACACAGTAGGTCAGGAGCCCTGGGTTCCCAGACCTGGCCCTTACTTGCTATGTGACTCTCAGCAAGTCTTTTTTTCCTTGCCAAGCCTCAGTTTACCCAGCGGTACAGTGACTAGGCTATGAGATCAGCTTGGCATTTGAGCCCTGGCTGCCTGGGAAACTCCTGGGGCCTTTGTAAAAACCACGGTGCTCCAGGCCCCCGCCCACAGCGAGGGTCAGATCCCCTGGGGTGGGGCTGGGCCGTGTTGTTAAAAACACCCGGGGTGTAGTCTCTGAAGTCTGGCCAACTCGAGATTCTAGGACCTGAACAGGGGGGAGGCCGGAGGAGGCAGGAGGCACAGCAGGCGGTCCCTGGAGCCCTGGGGCGGGGTGCAGAGGGCAGAAATGGGGCAGCGGGCTGGGCCTCAGGACTTTGCTCAGTGGCACAGTGCCCACTGGGTGTGGGCCATGGCCCGGGAGGTGGGGAGCCTGGGCCTAGTCGGGTCCATGGGAGGATGGGGCGAATGTGGGCACCTGGCAGAGACAGGAAACCCGGGCCCTGGACCCAGAATGGGGGTGCATCTGCTGTCCCCCAGGAGGAGGAAAGGCCGGCAGCCCCAGGCCAAGTCTGATGTATGTGGGGGGTGAATCATCCTTGCTTCCCTTACTCTCTGAGAGGCGAAGACCTAGCCCCCTGGGACCACAGTGACAGGTGTGACCCCACTGTAGCTGGTTTTGTTTTATTCAAATCAAGCAGCTGTCATGGGCCTGAGTCCAAACCTGCTACCTCCGGCAGCTGCTGGAAGGGGAAGTGAGCCAAGGATGACACATTCACTGATGGGAGTGGCATCGCCAAGCTACGTGGGGCCATGTGCTAGGCCTCCTCCCACCAAAGGGCATATCCATGAGAGGTCAGTGCAGCAAGCCTGGTGGGCTTCCTGGAGGAGACTGTGAGTAGACTCAGATGGCTCTTATCATCTGGGGCTTCTTTCCCCCTGCTTCCAAACAGCGAGAGAAGGGGCTTCCATGTTGTGGCTCTCTCACCCTGTGCAGCATTTAGGACCAAAGCTCTCACACCTAACACTCAGAAGCCGTGTGAACTTGAGCAGGGAGCAGAAGTCCTTTGGACCTCATTTCTTCTTTGTAAGGCAGGAATAGAAGAGTTCCTACCTCACAGAGCTGTTGTGGAATTAAGACAACCGACGTATGCAAAATGCTTAGCCCTGTGCGCATGAACAACATAAGTTGTGTCTGGTGACTTCCTCCTCAGTGCATATGCCCAACACCCCCAGGCAGTGCCAGGCACATAGTAGGCACTTCACCAACCCCCCAGCAGTCTGTCATTCCTGGCTCTTTCCTACATCTCTCAACTGGGAAAGGGAGGGACAGCTGCCCACATTTTGCTGAAGAGGCTAATGGAGAATGTAAGAGGCTTTCCCAAGGTCGGGCCCAGGGAAGGGGCTGGGATGGGAGAACGAGCCTCCCTACCCCCCAGGGTTCTTCAGACAGCAGACGCTTTGTTTCAGGAGGGAGAGAAAATTCCTTCCAGAACCCCCTGCAGAGGTCAGCCTCAGGACCTGGGCAGGGGGCCCTGGAGCCAGCTGGGAAAGTGACCCGCAGCACTGTGGCTGCAGCATTCATGGGGGCAGCGCGGCCTGGCTCTCCCCTCCAGGGCCAGCGGGGGCAGGGGAAGCAGAGGACTCCTTACGTAGGACAAAGATGAAACTGCTCTTGTCAGCCAGGATCCACACCCCGAAGCCCAGGATCACTCCGCCCAGGATCTAGGAGAAGAATGGGGCAGTTAATGGGGGCACTGAGAACAGGTGGGGCAGGAGAGAGCCCTGCCCAGCTGTACCTATAGCCTAGGCCACAGGGGTACAGGGGAGCTCCCTCCATCCTTGCCCAATCCAGGGATCTCAAAGTGGCCTCACGCCCCGAACTCCAAATCCCAGGATACCCCAGCAATGCAGCAGCAGGACTACTGTAGAGCGCCCCTTCTGTCCCCAGTCTCCCTGCCCTGTGACTCTGTGTGGTCAGAGCCCACCAGCTCTGCGAGGCACAGCCTCCCGCCAAGGGTACCCTGTACTCATCTCCTGGCCCTTTCCCGTGCTCAGGGCCCATTCCCTCCACTCCAGCCCAGCCTGGGGGCTGAGAGTGTCCCAAATAAGCCAGCCTCTGAGAAGTATCCCTGTGAACTTGAACATCAAAACCCAACTTGTCCTTCGGAGCTTGGCTCCAAGGCCACCTTCCACGGGAGCATTCCTGACTCTCCCAGGCAGATTAAGGGGCCTCTCCTCCGTGGCAGCCACTATGGGACCCTTCTTAACAGGCATTCCACTGGGTTTAACTACCAGGTGTGGCTCTCTGGTTAGGCTCCCGGAGGGCAGGGCAAGGTCGCATGCAGCTCGTATCCAGCACTGGGGGCTGAAGGCTTGGGAAATAAATGAACCTAACTGTAAACGCAGGAGTAGAAAGGTGCAGGAGTAGGGGGTGGCTGCCATAGGCCCAGACCCAGGATTCCCTGCCTCTTCCCTCCCCCCGCCCCCTGCGCCCACCCAGGGCAGGCCCACAGCCTGAGCCCACCTTCCCAGATGGAACCCCAGCCTCGACCCACCGCCCCGCCAAAGCAGCTAAGGTGGGGGAACAAAACTACAGGTTCCATTGGGTGGCAGGTGCTGCGTCACCCCACATGGCTGGCCTTTGGCTGGGGCCTGGCCTGGGCCCACCTGGGGATAACCCACCTTGAGGGTCCCACCATGTCACCGCCCACCTTTACCACCAGCCTTGGGCTCCCTCCTTAGCCATCATCCCATAGCATCAGGTGCAAGACCAGCGGCCGCTGGGAAAGCCCTCAGCCCGGGGTCCGGCCCAGGGTCTTGATCGCCGCTCTACCTCATTAAGACCAGAGCTGGGACCCTGAGGGAGGGGAGTGGCGCATTTGCTTCAGGCATTAAAAATTAAGGGGGCACCGAAGACTCAGTAACCAAGACAAATAATAGCTCACAGCAATTAGTTTTAAAAAATTAGTGGAAAAAATCCAAGATGGACAAACTATTTTAAACGTCTACATAAACACAGGCTCGGTATTGCTGATTTTTCCTTTTGACAAGCAGCAGACGCCCCACGGGGCAGCACGGGGCTGTCTGTGGCCTTGCAGCGAGCGCCTCACCGGTCTCACCCTGGCCCAGGCCCTTAAAGACGACGGTGGGTGGTGGCCATGGATGTGAAGGCACAAAGGCATGAGGACCAGCGCCCTTCACCCCCAGCCTTCTAGCAGCTCACTCGTCCGCCCTCTCTTTTTGGTGGACGGACCCTGTTACTGTCCTCCATTGTGCCTCCTACACCTGGGGAAACTGAGGCCCTGACCTTGCTCGAGGTCACCCAGTTCATCCACCAGGAGCTCAAAGCCAGGTCTGACCATTAAGCTGGGTCAGAGGGTGGCTGCAGGGATACTTGGGGTCTGTCTTGGGTTTTAGCCTTAGAAAGCCAGTCTCGAAGGAGAGGAAGGCTACTGAGACCCTGGGGAGGGGGACGGTGTACCCCCAGGTGGGGGTGCCTCGGACTGCACAGCTTGCTGGGAGGAAGGGGGACTTCATAGGACCTGGCAGTTAGGTTCCCAAAGGCCCCAGAATCCCGGCCCACCCCACCCCAAACATCACAGCACAGGGTGCCGAGCAGTCGGGCCTGCGGTCAGGCCCACAGTCTGGCCCTGTTACCACAGACCCACTCACCTATCAGCACTCACAGGGCAGGGCTGGGCCAGGAGGGCGGGCGTGGGGACGACTGTCCGGCCAGGGAGAGGGAATGAGAGGCAGGGCAGAAAATCCCCTCTGGGCAGATAAATCCCAGAGAGAGTAAAATTCCCAGGCTGCTGGGCTCAGCTCCTCGGCCAGCCTGGAGAAACCCAGAGGTAAATCCCCAGTCTGGCCCTTTCGGTTTTCCGGCAGGCCTGCCGCTGGCCTGGCAGTCAGGTGTGGCTGGGCCAGCCTTCAGGTCATGAGACAGCCAGGAGGGGCAGGCTGGGCCCCTGGCTGACTAGAACGGGGGAGACACCCTCTTGTTCACAGAGTCTTATTTCTCTGCGAGCTAGACTGGGGATCGGGGACACACGCCACATTAGCCACCCCTACCCCGACAGGATCTGCCCCCAGGTCTGTGCCAGGAGCCAGGACCCTGACAGTCAGCCTTGGTCCCCCCAGAACAGTGGCTCCAGCGGCCTCGGGGCTCCTCTGCTAGTGAGAAAAGCTGATGCGGCAACTTGGTAAGGAGTCTGGGGTCAGGAGGATGTGCGGACAAAAACGTGTACATGTACGCGTGTGCATGTGTGAGCACACTCGGCAGCCGGAGTGATTTTCCCCAACCATGAGCCCAATCACATAAGTACTTCCCACCGTGCAGGAACAGCTCAGAGTCACTCTGGGAAGCCTGCGCCCCAGACAGGCGCACTCTGCCCCCTGCCCCAAGGGACTGACGTTCTGCTGCCAGACCCCCTTCTCCCCGGACACGGGGGACTCCAGGAAGCCTCTGCTGACTGCCCTGACAAGCTCAAGTGCCTTATTATCTGCCGTGCTAGGGGCCGCGTCCTTCGTTCCCAGCACCTACCCCAACTGCCACTTTATCACCCATTTGAGTAGTTGATCAGAGGCCATCGCCACCCAGACATAAGCCCCAGGAGTGCAGAAACCATGGCTCTTCAGCCAGTGAGTGTGTGCCTGGCACCGCCAGGGACACTGAACACACGGAGGCGTCAAACACACGTTTGGTGGATGAGCGAACAGCAAACGCACACTGTCACCTCTGACTCTCCCTTCCGTCACCCTCCTGTAATAAAAGCTTCCCACCCCCACCACACACTCCCCCCATCCCGAGGGGCCATTCGGAGCCCCAGCACACAGGGAGTTAAAGCCCGATTCCCACCAGCCTCCTCCTGGAGCAGCTGGGCGGAAGCCAGGCCCCCGAGACCAGCCCCCGGAGCTCTGGCCCGAGAGCAGCTTTTCCAGTCTCTGGGCAGCCCCGCAGCACAGGAGAGGACACCCCAGCCAAAACCATCAGCCCTGCTCCCTCTCTCCAGGAAGTCTCTGCCCCTCTTCCCTCCCACTGCACGGGTGCAGAGGGGTGTCTACAGCCCTGAACCCTGAGCCTCAGGCACCATCAGGCTGTGGCCAGACCCCTCTCTCGTCTCTCGAGCCCCAGGGATGGAGCCGCAGTGTTCCCCACCCCTGGTCCCCACTGGCCCTCGTAGCGGGCCTCAGCCTGGGAGCCCACTGCCTGCCAGGGAAAGCTTGGCTCTGGCTGCTCGGGCAGCTGCTTTGCAGTGACCCGGGCCAACCAGGAGGGACCTGAGCGCCAAGCTGGGGAAGCCCAGGTGCCCAGGCCCTGCCTGGGGTGGCGTCCAGGCCTGGCTGCCATCAGTGGAGGGCAGAGCTGCGGCAGGGCCTCAGCATGGTCCTGGAGGAGGGAGGCGGGCTGGAGGCAGGCCAGGCAAGAGCCAGACAGGCGGTACCAGGGTTGTCCGTGTGCATGCATGTACGTACACACGTGTGCTCGCATGTGCCGGGAACTCACTTGTAAGTGTCCGTGTGTTGGGTTATAGTTATGAGAAAGAATTTGGGAAGATTCTTCATTTTCTAAACTTCCCATAATCCTATGTAACTTGCAGGACAATTTTTTCCCCACAAGTAATTCATGTCTAGTGTAGAAAATTTGAAAAATGAAGAGGCATAAAGAACAAACCCCAAGTTTCCTGGAAGCCTGACATTAGCACTCAGAGGTACTGTTTTTCTCTTAAAAAATATTCATGTATGTGCACAATGTCTAAAAGTAAAATTGGACCCTAATAAACACGTTCTCACACACACTGACACAACTACTCGTACACGCCCCCCCATCATCCTGGCAGCTCCAGAGCAGCCAGAGTCGGGAGGTGCCAGGCCGAAGAGGGGAATCGAGGCCCCACAAAAAGCAGCTCCAGATGTGCATGGAGCTCACATCTGGGCGTCCTCTGGCTCGAGGACCTGATGACGCCTGCCAGGGAGGGTCTGGGGAAGGAAACTGTGTCTCCACTCTGACCCAGAGCCCAGCCTCCTCATGCCCACCCTCTGGGGGGCTCGGGACACACTCTCCAACCTGGAGGTGGGGCTGAAGGGGGGGCATTTGAGACCAGAATGGTAACAGGGAGGTTCTCAGAGGGGAAGAGGAAGGTGGGGGGTGGGGCAGGACAGGGCAAGAAAGACCCCGAGACTCCCATCCAACCATTCCCCGATGGCGAGACTTGAGGAGATGCCCCGAGTGCTTCCCCTCCCCCATGCCTGGCTCCCTGGACAGCTGGCCTCAGGGCCCCAGGAGAGGGCGAGGCCAGGCAAGGGTCCAGTGCTCCGCCAGGGAGCCGGCCGGGAATGCCAGCAATCTCTTCACCAGCCTGACCAGGTTCCACTTGGAATGGCCTGCCTTCAGCCCCCACCACCCACACCCCGCCTCCATCCCCAGTCCTGGCTTCTCTGGAGGGTCTCAGGCCGGCACGCATCAGGGACCAGAGTCTCTGTTGGAGGCCGTCAAGTGTGGGGGCCATACTTACAAAGAAGAGCAAGTTGAAGAGGAAGAGAAAGTACTTGGTGACTTTGATGCAGGCGGACCCCATCCTGCCGGCCCTGGAGCTCCCTGTGGAGAGAGAAGGCAGGGAGGTCAAGGTCAGTGCAAGGTGGGACTGGGCAGGGCTGGAAAGGAGAGAGAACTGAGGCCCATGGGCACCCACCGTCTGCTTGCCCCAAATCCTCCTAGCTCACCCTGACAATCCCAAAGGTAGGTACTAACATGAAGTCCTGCTTGATAGCACTCTGAGGCCGAGAGGTTAGATGACTGGCCCAAAGCCACACAGCTAGGAAGTGGTCCTATGAGTACTCTGGGCCGCTTGATGCTTGGCAGTCAGGGTCTGGGCCAGCCACTCTATGGGGGCCAGGCCTGGGGGGAGACTATATAGGAGAGCTCAGGGTTCGAAACCTGCCCAGGTGGGCTCCCGGAAGTCAGGAGACCAGGAAGTTAGTGAGTGACAGCTGGACACCCCGAGCTCAGTCCTGCGGCTCGTTCCACACGCACATCTGGGGCAGTGGGGCTGCTGTGAGGAGAAGGAACGTTCCGGCCGCTGGGAAAACGGACTGCGCACTCCCTCCCTCTGCCTTGTGCAAAGGGAAGGAGTGTGTGTTGTGAAACGTCGAACAAACACAGAAAAACACAAATTGAACAGAAAGTCTGATCTCGCCCCAGAGATGAACACCGCTGTCCTTTGAGTGGCTGCACCTCCAGCACGTGGGGGCATAGCACGCTGAGCTGCCCACCGCTTCCCCATCCCACAGCGCACTGTCTCGGCGCGCAGGGGGCGCCCTTCTGAAACGCAGCCCTACGCGCTGCTCAGGACCGAGCTCTCATACTTATTAATGTGGGGCAGCCAGAGACTCTCCCAGAAAACTCAGGTATAGGTTACATTTTGAAAATAACTTCTGGGGGTTCACAGACCCCATGAAGCCCATTCGGAAACTCCCCGGGGACTCCGGGTTAAAGCCCCAGATGTAGATATACCACAAAGCATTTCATCAACACTGAAGATTGAACACACAGGTTGTTTACAACTTTTCAGTTACCCTGGGTGACACGACCCATGCTCTGTCCCTTTACTCAGAGGACCCCAGGCGAGGGTAGGACTCGGGGAGGAAGAGGGAAGCTGGAAGCTGGAAGCCGGCTGCCTATGCACCCTCCCCAAGGCCAGACAAGCCCAGGAGTGAAAACAGCCAGCTCTCAGGCCCTGTGGGGTGAGGGAACCAGCGCCAGGCAGCTCGGGCCAGGACAGCTGGCCAGGGACAGCTGCAAGGGTAGAGCCAGGCCCTGAGGGTGGGGGTGGAGATGGGGAAGCAGGCAGCAGACCTGCTGTGGTCTTGTTCCCACTGCTCTGTGGAGGGGGAAGAGTAGGGGGGGCCACAGAACAGAGAGGATGGAGGCCCTCTCACCCCTCCTTGCAGGGTGGAAGGCAGGCCTAAGTCATGGGACTCTCCCCTGTCCACACAGAGGCCTCTCACCCTGCTCTGGACATTATAACAATTTTCCAACATCCTCGCCAGTGGAAGCTCGGCTTTGACTTTATGTTCCTCCAGTGACAGGGGAAGGGGGTTTAGGGGGAGGACTTACTGCCTCCCAAGGGGTTCAGTTCAGTTTTCTAGTATCCCTGCTAGAGAAAGTTTTCTTTAGCTGCCTTTCTATGGGTCAGGTTTGGGCACATGAAGCAAAGGCATCCAAAGAAGAAATTTTTTTTTAAAAGCTGCCTGGTTGGTAGCAAGCACCCCGTCACAAGTGGCATGGAAGCAAAGTCTAAATAAAGACTTATGGAGGAAGTTGGTTCAAGTGCTACATGGGGAAATGACGCTCTTCCAAGCCCCCAGAGTGCAAGATCTAGGTCTGAGAAATGCAGGGACAGCAGTGACTCAGGACCCCTGAAAGACCAGCCTCAGCAGCACTGCCTAGGAGCTCCCCCAGACCCAGAGGCTACCCTCACTCCCAAGTCAGGAGACCCAGAGACTGCTGTTTTTCTCTCTCTCCTCCCCACACAGCACCAGGGGCACTTCGTAAACTCACAGGGGTCAAACAGCCAGAGAGGAGAGATCCCCCCGTGGACAGAGGCGTGCTTTTCTTTCCTACCAGGGACCTGCTTGCCTGTCTGGGGTTCCTCCCAGCAAAGGACACGGAGGGAAAAGGGTGGGGGGTGCGGATGCCAGCCCCAGGGGCTGACACAGGGTCAACCCAAACAGCCTACAGAGAAGTCACCACTTCACCAGGAGGACTGTTCATCAACCATATCCCAGCCGAGGGGCGCAGAGGCTCCAGAGAGCCAGCAGTGGTGCCGGTTGGTTCTTGTGAAACTGGAAGAGTGTGGAAACAGCCCTTGGGCAACTGCAGCGGGCCCAGAGAGTCTGCGGAGTCTGTGAACTTCTGGCTCCCACATCCTGTTCCTGGGCCGGGTCCACGGTGCAGCCTCGCAGGGCTGGGGGTGTTCGGAACGGGCAGCTTTTAGACCAGAGTGAGAACCAGGTCTGCCCAGTAAGGGGGAGGGGCTGCCTGTGAACAGCCATTGGCGCCAGGCCACTCAACCCCTTTCCCTTTCATCGTCAAAACCTGCCCAGGAGGTGAGGAGGGTATTCCTACCCTGGGGCGGGGTGGGGCAGGCTCAGGCAGGTGCAGTTAACTTGCCCAAGTCACACAGCTCGTTAAGCAGCCCAAGGTCCAGGAGCAAGATCTTTCCGCTGTGAAATGCTGTGAGCCAGGCACTGGCTGTGGACTGTATCTGGGGATGACTGGGGTTCTGTTGACCAAGGGGGTGGTGAGGACCCAGGTGACAGCTCGAAGGAGCTCTGGTTGAGTGGGCTGGCAGGCATCCCCCACGCTCTGACCCCCGGGCCATTTCGCTGGTTACTTACACAATTCATACCAGGCATTGGGCAAAGCCTTTCAACATCCTGGGAGCAAACTAAGGCCCGGAGGGCTAAAGGAGCTAGTTCAGCCACCAGTATGCGGAGAGGCCAGGAACAGAATCCAGGCCGCTGACCCCTTGGGCCGCCCTCTTCATTCCAGGAGGAAGCTGGGTGGGTTCAGATGCTAGAAGAGGAGTCAGGAAGCCCCACGACTGGCAAGCAGCTTGGCCAATCGGGACACATCCAGGGACTACCTGGAAGTTGCCCAAGGGAGGAAAAGGCACTAAGAACCAGAGCCTGGGGTGGGCGGCTCCCAGGCTTGTGGGCCAGAACCCTGGATGCAAAGTTTTTCTGCCCCGCGAGTGCAGACATCTCCTCCTTTCAGCCCCAAGGAGCAGAGCATGAGCGACAGTCTGCACGCCTGGCAGCAGGTGGGCAGTTCCACGAGGGCAGGTGGGTGTCAGTGAAGGCTGGGAACACGCCCAGGTCAGCCCCCAGTGGGGTGTGGCACCACATTTTGGGAGCCCTCCACCCCCACCAAGCCCCGAGGAGACCCCACATTGAAATCAGAGGGCATGAGGTTACATTCTAGCTCTGCCTGCCTACGCTGAAGGGTCTGAGCCCCAGTCTCCTCACCCACTAGACAGGAATACGGGCCGGGGCAGCACAGGGGCGGCCAGTTAGGCTTATGGATCAAATCCAACCTGCCACCTATATGGCTTATGGGCTAGAAACAAATTTTACGTTTTTACAGATTTATTTTACTTATTTTACTTATTTTATTTTACAGATTTATTTTATTTTACTTATTTATTTATTTTACTTATTTATTTATTTTTAGAGAGGGGGGAAGGGAAGGAGAGAGGGAGAGAAACAGATTGTGTGAGAGAAACATCGATCGGTTGCCTCTCACACGCCCCCACCCAGGGAGCTGGCCCACAACCCAAGCATGTGACTGGGAATTGAACTGGCAACCTTTTGGTTCACAGGCCAGCACTCAATCCACTGAACCAAACCAACCAGGGCAAATTTTACGTTTTTAAAGTTGGAAAAGAATTTTTTAAAAAAGGATATTTTGTAACACATGAAATTCAAATTTCGAAGTCCACAAATAAATTTGGGTTGGCACCCAGCCACACCCCCTGGTTTGTGTCCTGCCTGCAGCTGCTCGGCATTGCCATGCACAGCGGGGCAGTTGCGGCCGACCGTTGGCCCACAAAATCCTAAACGTTTACTGCCTGGCCCCTTACAGAAAAAGCTTGTCATTTCCTGGCACAGGGGATCGAATGGCGGTGCACAGGATCCCCAGACAAGGGTTCAAATCCTGGCTCTGCCAGTGCATGGCCACAGGGAAGGGACTTCAGAGCCTTGTTCTCTTCACCTGCAGAGTGGGGGCTCCCAGCTGAACCCCGTTGTGAAGACACAGTGAGGTCAGCACCTGGCAGCCAGGCTGGGGTGAGCTTCTTGGGGAAGAAGCGAGGGCGGCGCTGCACTTGAAGGTGAAGTGAAACAGAGCCGTCTCCCAGGGCTGCGCTTCCGTGTCCGCACTCTCTGCGGACCCCGGAGGGTCCGCCCCGCCTTCCTGCCAGGGTGTCTTGGCAGCCGCAAAACACGCACATTTTATTTGGAAAATGCCAGAACAGTCACCGACAGCTGCGTGAGCAGTGGAAAGAAGGTGCTGATTTTGTTATGCTTCATAGCAGGTAAATTGACCATTTCTAAGCATCTATGATTTAAATTGACCAAATATATCATTTTATGCCAGATCAGTTTGTGCAGTGAAATTCTATTACACTAATATGTCATTAACTCCTACTCATCCATCAGTATTCGCTTCAGACATCCACCTCCTCCAGGAAGCCTCCCACTCAGCCGGGCTTGTCATCACCGCCCCGGCTGCGGCTCCCAGAGAACAAATGTGGGTGAGGGGCGCCCCCAGTCTGCTTCCTTCCAATAGCACTGCAGGCTGGAGTGGTTCCCAGAACAGGCTCTGGCATCAGGCTGCCTGGTTGTAAATGTGATTCTATCACCTTCCAGCTGTGTGACTTTGGATAAAGAAATTAACCTCTCTGAGCCTCACTCTAGTCATCTGTGAAAAGGGAAAAATGAAATCTCTTTGGCAGAGTTGCTCTGCGATTGAATCAGACAATGTGGGTGAAGTGCCTGGCATGAGTAGGCTTCCAATACATGAGGGTTACCATCCCAACTCCTAACGCTGTTCAGTCATTTTCTACTCACTTGCCCATCTCCCCAGTGGGTCATGAGACCTCCAGGGGAAAGACTGTGAATTATTTATGAGGACAAATTAGGATCCCAGAAAATGTTGTCAGCAGGATTGTGGGTGGATAGAGGGATGGGAGGATGAAAGGATGGAGGGAGGCATGGAGGGCGGGGTGGGGAGGTGCATGGGAGGGGCAGGACTTCCCCATGGAATACTGGGACTTTCTAAACTTGGCCACCTGAAGGGGGGTCTGAGATCCACTGCCCCTGGGCTGCCGAGACTCTATTTTCAAGCCTCTCGTGCCCTCACCTACGGGGTGGGGTGGAGGTTGCATAGGGTTAGCTCCCAGAGCCAGCTCTGAAGGCCAGGACCCACTGCCAGGGCTCCCCGGCCTTCCCCAGAGCTCCTGGTCACAGGGAAGGAGTGTCTTCAAGAGAACCCCTCTGTGCAGCCCTCCCGTGGGTCTGCACCTGTGGACTAGGAGGGTGGGTCTGTCCCTCTGCTGAGGAAGGGGAGGAGCCTTCCAGCCCAGCCCTGGGACCTGGATGTCCCCATACAGCCCTGGGGACACAGAGTGGCTCCTGCAGCATTCACTGTACCTCCAGGCCGGAGTCGGAGGTGCAGGCTGCGCCCTGCTCTGATGAGTCAGTCACTCAGGAGGAAACGGCGCGTAGGTGACTGCCCCTGCCCTCCAGTCCCACCCCACCTCCTCACCTGTCAAGTGACAGGACCCGAGCAGCCTTTTCACGAGTGGTTCCTCAGAACACGAGGCCTGGAGATGCTCTGTTAGGAACAGAAAATTTGCCGTCACCAAGTCTGTGAAGCAGCAGTTCTCCCTGAGAGTCACTGTGCATTCGGCTATTAAGGACCCCGCGCCTGACTTACAACCATCGCTCACCTCACGGCCCTTCACACCTCGTGGAGCACAGCTTAGGAAACCCTCTTGAGGTCCCTTAGGGCCCGGGCTCCAGGGTTGTAAGCACTGCAGGATTCTGAGCTAGGGAGGGCACAGCCTTGACTCACCAGCAGGCTCGGCCTGAACACCTAGGGGCCCCAGTCAGGTCTCTCTGTGCCTCAGCCCCCTCGTCCCACCCACAGCCCAATCCAGCACCCCTACCGGCCCCTGGCCTCACCTCCCACCTGCACCAATACAGGTCCCCCTCCTGCCCTCACTGTTATCCATACCTCAGGAAGGGCTCTGAAAAATGCAAACTGGATCTTGCCACTCCCCAACCCTGCGATGGTGATACAGCCAAGATGTCTGCTGTAATTCACGCTCTTATGTGGCCCTTGGGGCCCTGCCCCTCCCCCCTTCTCACGCACACACTCATTCTGCAGGACACAAAGGCCACTCTTTCCTGTTGTTCCAGTAGAGCAGGCCCTTGCCCACCAGGCCTCTGACCTGCGCTTCTTCTTTCAAGATCACTCCTCCCCCAAGGCCCCAGGCTGGCCCCTGATGAGCTCCCTCCTCCAGAGGCTTTTTCCTGAACACTGGCTCTACTCAGCAGGCCTCACCTCCAGATGCGCATTACACTCAAAATATGCCAATGCCCAGAGGCACCCCCACCGCAATTCCTGACCCGCAAGTCATCAGAATCTTGGGGGGACTCCCCTGGTGACTCGAAGGAGTAGCAGCTTTGACAGCTACTCGCATGCCCTGCTCACTGTGTTTATCTAGCTGGTTCACGGCTGTGCTGCAGCCCCTGTGCAGCGGGCTTAGGGGGAGGGGCTTCTGTCTCCTTCCTCCCACTTCCCCAGCCTAGGGCAGCGCCTGGTCCATAGCAGGTACTCACATGTGCTTGCAGGAAGCAGGAAAGGAAAACAGGGGCAGTCTGGAGAGGCGGGGAAAGGTTTCTTAGAGAGGGCAAACCAACTTTTATCGTGCCACTGGGGAAGGGGTTGCTTCCCCCAAGACTGGATTTTAATCTCCTCTGGGCCAGAAAAGCCAATGCAAGCTTCAAACTGTCTCCCAAGAACGATGCACACAGCGGCAGGCACGAGCTGTCTCCTGGTCAGGGGGTCACCACGGCCAGAAAGCCAGGAGGTTCTTATTTCCCCGTCTCCCATTTGTTTGGAGTAGTAGTGGTCCCTGACCCTGGCCACACTCCGGGATTTCCCTGGGAACTCAAACCTGCTGGTGCCAGGGATGCTGATTTAATTGGCCCAGGGTATAGTCTGAGCTTCAGGACTTTTCAAAAAAAGAGCTTATTACTTATTTTTAGAGAGATGGGAAGGGAGGGAAAAAGAAAGGGAAAGAAACATCGCTGTGCGAGAGAAACATTGATCAGTTGCCTCTCTCATGACCCCAACTGGGGACCTGGCCTGCAACCCTGGCACATGTCCTGAGTGGGAATTGAACCAGCGGCCTTTCAGTTTGCAGACTGGCATTCATGCACCAAGCCACACCGGCCAGGGCCATCAGGGTTTTTTAAAGCTCTTCTGGGGACTCTAATGGGGCCCTATCCCTCTGCTGGGAGTGGGGTGCAGGCAGGCCTGGGGCGCCTGGTACAGCAGGGCCTGGCCAGGGAGAGCTCCCACGAAGCTCCTGACACCTCTGCTCCGCCCTTGACTTCCCGGAGGCACATCCCCAGAGCAGCGTCCGCTCTGAAGGGGAAGCCCTTTGAGATCGGTGTGTTTTTCAGAGGGGCCGAGAGAGCAGGACAGGTCACACAGTGAAATCAGGGCCGAGCACACGGTGGGGGACCCAGAGATTCGGAGTCCAGAGATCTCTCTCTCTCTACCTGCTGCCCTGTCCCGGGTCACCAGGCCTTCAGCCTAGGGAGGTATTAGAACTGAACTCAGAGTCACTTAGCGACCCTTGGTTTCCTCCCCTGGGTCCGCCACATATCAGCCACAAAACCTCAGGCGAGGCTAGAGAGCTACCTCCTTATCAATGAATGGGGACACTATTCATGATACACGGGTGGGAGGGCGGCCTGCAATCAGGCTAGCACCCAGTAGGGCTTAGTCTGAGCTGGCACCCTAGCCCACTCCTCCTACTCTCCGTTCCTGAAGTGCCAAATCTGCCACATCTTACCAACCGCGTGGCCCTGGGCAATCACTTCACCTCTGTGCCTCTGCTTTCCCACCTATAAAGTGGACTTAATAATGGGTGATGGTGAGACTTACATGAGTTAGTATCTGTAAAGTACCTGGCACCAGGTAAATGTCAAATAAATGCTACCAGTCACGATGATGATGATTACTATCCCGAAGTTGTTAGTTTCCTGCCCAGAGCCCACTGAGACAGGAAAGCCTCCAGGGCTTGACCCAGCCTGCAGATATGTGCCGGGGCCAGAGGGCTCCCTGTGAGAGGGCGGCCACCACTGCTCTGGGGCAAGGGGCCAGGGTTACGTCAAATAGGGCGGGGCCAAGCCGCCGGAGGAAGGAGGGTCTCTGTCCCACCCACAGGGGAGGGGCCACTGTCTCCAAGCCTCTGGGCTGTGCCCAGGGGCGGGGCCGCCCGAGGCCTGGAGGGCCAGCCAGTCTCGGGAGCAGGACAGCTGACTCCAAGGCAGCTCAGCCTGCTTGCTTGGGTACAAAGTGGAGTGAGAGGCTGGCGTGCCGGCTGTGCCCCGGAAGCCACCAGTCCTCGGGCACTCCACCTGCAGGCTGGTCCTTGGTGACCCAGCTCTCCCTCCTCTGGACTTTGTCCCGTCCAGAAGACGTTGGTCACAGGTGGCTGTGTTTGTTTTCACGTGTGACAGGTGATGTGTTTCCTGCAAACACAGCTGAGTCCAGGGGCTGGCTTTTTGACCTCTTCCTCTGTCTTATTTTTCAGTTTCCAGTCTTACCTTTCTATTGTTGTTAAAACAAAAAAGAAAAACAAAAGTGAAAAGCTGTTACTCTGGGCCACAGAAATCAGAAGGGCAGAGGCATGGTTGGGATCTCAAGGTTCCATGAGGACCTGGGTTTGAATCCCAGCCCTACTTCCTAGCAGCTGCGCTGCGGCCTGGAGCAAGGGAGGTGCCGCTGAGCCTCTCCACCTCCTCTGGAACTCAGAAACACCAGCTGGCCCTGTCTCCCAGGGCCCCGAGGTGCCTGGGTCTTCCCAGGAAGACCTAGGTAGGGTGCATATTTGGGGCCACTGTCAGCTGCTCAATTCAAGGTAGCAAATGCCACCACCCACACCATCGTGGCTTGGAGGAAACTTCCAGATCAGACCCTCCCAGGAAGCATGGCTTTCAGAGCCCTTTTGTCTCACGGATGCAGAACCCAAGGCCCGATGAGGAATGGCTCCTGCCTCGTGACTGATTCCAGCAGCCTGGGTACCAGGCCCCCGTTCCCCAGAGGGTAAACCCTCTGGAGCTGGAACTGGCCCCTGGCATTTGGGGGAAGGAGGCCAGCACTTTATAGTTTACATCATGCCGTGCCCCCTGCCCCTCACTTAATCTCTCTACAACCCCACCCTTGAAATAGTATCCCCATTTACCAGAGGAAAAAACTGAGACTCTGTGGCTTGCCTAAGATCACACAAGTAAGTGGCTAAGCCTTGACTAAAACTGAAGTCTGATCTGAGACCAGAATCCCTTCCTCCTCCCCTGCTTGCTGCCTGAGGGAATGAGGTAGATCGCGGTGCTGCCAACCCACCCTCCTACCTCCGTTTGCCAGCCTGGCCCTCTGTCCTGCCCCAGCTCTGAGGCATGACTCTTGGCTTCCTATCAGAAAGGATAAAGGTCAGCCCCGCCAAACCTGGCCAGGGTGTCCCTTCACTGTGGCTGATGAGTCCGACAGATGTGGCCTTCCCACCAGGCTTTACTCTAAAACCTAAGCAATGAGCCCGGAGAACCTTCAGTATCAAGAAGGGGGCCCCTCTGCTGGAGGATGCAGCATGGGGAACAGCAGACACCTGCAGCCTTCCAGCCTCCCCCAGCCTCCCCATCTGGCCCCCCGTGCAGCCAAAGACTCAAGCTGAGGCACAGCCATAGCCTCTGGCCTCTCCTTCTCCATGGCTCTCTTTCTTGACTGTATTTGGCCCGACTGGGCCCCATGTGGACCCTGCCCCACCGTGTTCTGAGGCTCACACACACAGGTTCACAGTGCCAGAAAGGCCTTTGACGTTGTTGCCCACTGAAGTGCCCATTTCTTGGATGAAGAGACAGTGGCCCAGAGAGGACCGTGAATCCCCGCCCTTCTGGGGACAGTGTGTGTTCAGTGTGCCTGGTTGGGGTCGAGCCATCAGTGCTCCCCGACCTGAGTCACACCATGAAGCGCGAAGAGAAGGATCCGTATTTGTTCAACACACAGGTAGACAAACAGGATTGTGCCTGGTCTCAGCTGAGTGGCCCAGGCTCTGTCCCAAGGGCTAAGGAGATATCTCAACACATTTGTAACCCATTTGGGAGTCCCAGATTCCAGGGGCCCTAAGAAGAGGACCCAGATCCCCAGGTGGCCTCCCAAAGCCATTCTCCTCCCAAGGACCCCTCCACAGCCCCATGGAGGGAAGCAGAACAATGAACCAGGTCAGAGTATGGACTTGGAATTGAAAGAGACATAATTCCAATACCATTTTGTCAAGCTGTGTGACCTTCGACAAGTTGCCCACCCACTCTGAGCATCATCTGTGAAATAGGGATATCAAGACTTGTCCAGGGGGATGGCAGAATCAGCTTGCCAAGCCCCAGAACGTGAGCATGACAAAGTCAGAAGACTCTGGGAGGAGGTCACATGAGAGAGAGTCCCCTCCTCACGCATCAGAAACCTGTCCCTTGAGAACCTCGGGTTCCTATAAACTGCCCCAGAAAGGTCACCATCAGCCAAGAACTTGAAATGCCAGTTGAGCA